TCTCAATCATTTATTCGCGCAGCGAAGCAAGACGATCGTATCTTTGACTGCAGTTTATAACTTTTAATTGTCCGAGGAATTGAGCTCCGATCCTTTGAAGTAGGCCGCGTGATGCGTCAATTGAGCGTCTCCGAGGGCGCTCGGCTGTCTCAAGGCCTTTACACTTTTATTGAAGCGTAACTACAAAGTATGAATCGATAATTTGACAAATTAGCAAGTCTGTCAAGTATCAAATTAGGAATGGCTCTTATGAAATCCGCCAATTTTAGCAATTAGAAATTATAACACGTTTAGGCTTAGTATGTGAAAATTAAAAAAAAGTAAAGATACATTCAGATTACGGCTATTCTCATTTATGTAAGTCTTCTTTTAATGTTATATCATTTTCATTTCTACCGAAAAAAATTGCTGAACGAGCCTGATACGAGGGAATTTTTATAGACATTGTAGATAGAATTGTCTACTTTTTTGTTGGCAGCGCTATGCCTCTTGTTTACCCCTGTTTTGGTGTATATGCTTTACCTACATATTCCGCATTTTAATATGTAAAATTTTATACAATTCTTTACATTAATTATATAATAAAATGAATGCATCATCATCATCATCATCCACTTGCCCTTATCCCTTACGGAGGCGGAGGGTCGGGACAGTAAGTGTTGCCCTTCCATACATCTCTATCAGCCGTCATATCTGAATCAATTCAAATATGTGAAAATAAAACGAATACATGATTTACTTATTCAAAATTTTATCCACGTTAGGAACTATTAAAATTTCATTTTAACTAAAACCATACCACCATTAGTGAAGGGTAATTGAAAAAATACCAGTCATTAGTGTCGATGAAATAAACTGAGGCACGTGCCCTTACATGTTGCTAAATAATTAAGAGCTCTCAACAAGCACCATTCACGATGGCCGACTGTGACGAGATGTCGAGTGTACCCCCAGGCATACTAATGTAACATTTCTAATTGCCTATTAATGAATCTACTAATGTTATTATATCCCAAAACTCTTAAAAAATACATATTAAAGAACCTTTTACTATACGTCACAATTAAAATAACCTACAAGTAAATTTACCGTCCAAAATGATCTGTGGAAAACATTTCCTCGCCTCAATATAACCTGTGACCTGAAATGGTTGTATTAAGACATTAATTCAGGCTTAATAACTTTATTAAATGTGTAAAAATGTCTGATTCATTTTTTAGAAACATGCAAAATAAATAATAGTGAAGCGCTGATTGTAAGCTACGGTGCATATCGAATTATCGCGCGTGGGATCGAGAGTCTAACTTCTATTGATAATCGTCGACGTCATGCATTTTTATCTCATGCGGTTACAATGGACACGTTCTGTGATATTTTAGGGTTGAGTGTTTCGCTTAATTGTTGATTATTCAAACGTGGTTAGTTTTTATAATAATGAGGTAACAATTTATTTATCGTAATAATATATGTAGTTAGTTTTTTGTGACAAACGATTTTCTGAACAGAAAATTTATATGAACGTGTTTGAACATTATTGCTATTCCTTTAGCTTATAACATTAAAGTATAGTTTCATGAAAACATTACAATAAGCTAATTATACAACAGAAATCTCAATACACATGTAATCATACAAAATAATTTATCGTCCATAAGTCACCCATTTTATAACTTTTTTCTCATTGTACTTTAATATATTCAATAGATAATACATCTATATTACTTTATCACATTTTATTAGTGTAAGTTGAAAATGCACATTTGGAAAATATGCTTTAAAAAATCACTTGGACAAGACGATATGTCGATATTTCTCTGCACAACACTAATCGCGTACGCTTAACGTAATTGGCGGAGAGTGTGCAATCCCGAATAACTCCGGCACTCAATTGAACAGTCAATCATTGTGTCTGTCTGTTCCGGTGGCCCGTTAACTGTCTGGGTGGTGCCTGTACGCCGCGCATGCGACGAATTTGTCACGGCTTCGATTCCCTCTCTATTAATGAAGATACCCCCCTCGTGGGAATGCAGACTATTTGTTAATTTCAACAGCTTTTAGGGTAAACATAACAGCGAGGATGATTAGTGGCATGTTTTAAAAACCATTGATTTATCGATAATTCTACACTTTTTTAATAATACACAAAACCCATTCCTGCTTTTCCATCTTTTGGAGTCTATTTATAAACGTAAAATAAACTGTACATGCTGAGCGTTAAACAAAAAGTAATGATAAGGATTTACAGTTTCAGCTCATTTATTTTAAAAACCATGTTCAATTAATTACACCTATACTGAATGCATATTATTCCCGCCCAAACTTATGTTTTCTGGAAGTTTCTGATCCAAAATAAGTACAAGCATGCCAATAGAGTGCAGTCGCGACACCAGCATTAAGATTACGAACTATCAGAGCTCGACGATCCCTTTAGTCCAACCCCCGACAGGCTTTATTGACCGAGACAGAGTTAACAAAATAAATGGCTTAAATTCTACACCCGTAATGAATACATAGGAGGGATACTGAATAATCATTGTTACGTTGCATTTTGGGCGATGCTGTTTAAGCCTGTGCCGCAATTTATAAGCCAATAGCGAATTTATTGAATTTGAAGGGTATAAAGTTACATGAAAGCAATTGTCTAAAATGTAAACTTTTCGTAAGCTAAGTTCTCATGTACGTTTTTTCATGTTATTTTAATTATTAACATGCCAATTATTAATGCTGGCATGGCATTTAAATTTTTAAGTTCCACAGAATTGTACTATTAAATTTAGGTATCTAATAATGATTGTACATTAGAAGCTAACTAACTAATATTTTTCGTAATTGTCCAAGATCTCCCTTTGTGTTTTTAACATCTTTCTTTTCACTATTAAACAATCAAAATTAAAAATAATTCAATTTCGTAATCGCTACCGCTCATGAATTGGGGTGAGTCACAATAGGCACGCGCCGGCCGGATGCAGTCGCGGAGCGCGTGCGTCGTCGTTACTGACGCTCAATGGAACGCGCGGAGGCGCACTTAAAACATTTTTATTGTGCGCGAGGGTTGGAGTCTCATTGTGGACCCACCCCCAACTCACGAGTAACATATCTCATAACCAATGATAAGAAACATTAATTTGCTTGAACGTTTGTACATAATTTTTATGATATTCATACGGTACGAAAGCCTAAATTTTAGGCCTGTTAAAGAAAAAAAGGAACACTGTAAACACATTACGTTGGACGTACGGTCAAATTTAAGTCGGAAATCTAATTTTTCCGATTTTTTTTACGAAAAATTAAATAACTTTAAAACTATAGGAAATCGGGCAACATGCTTTGCGTTTAAATGATAGCTATTGAGGTCCTATACCTCCACAAAACCGTTAATCCGTCCGTTAAGAATCACCTGTATAATATAACAGAAATTAGTCCTAGTACGGAAAGCAAGCTTCTACCAGGGGAAAATACACCGATAAATCAATACAATGAAACTATGCGTCGTGAGTTACCTTTTTCTAGTTTCATTTCGTGAACCGGTGTTTATAAAATAACAATTAAAATTTACCGTTAACATTTCAATAGTTCATTACAATATTCTCTTCGGGATTCCTCAACTAATGTCGTCTAGTTTGATAAGTAACAAACAAGGCAAGTGTTTAAAAGTAATGTGTGACATGAAGAAAAGACTTTTACTTCATGATATGAACTTTTAGAAGAAATAAAAAAATGATTAGGTAAATGACTTGACATGTGACAGAATTGTCACTTTACATTGTCATGGTTTTATTTACTTTTACCTAGTAATATTTTAAAATTACTGTTAATGAAGTAAAAATTTTGATTCGAACAAAACAAATTTAAAAATGGCCAGCAAAGAATATTATGAACGATGGTTGAAAATAAAAGAAGATTTCGAAAAAGCCTTAGCCGCTGATCAAAAGATCCAGGATTTAGCATCAGACGGCATAGGAATTAAGCCTCAAGCCACTGCAATAGAAATAATAGCGAGAGTATACTCTCAGTACTGCATATTATATAATCGATTATGTGAATGCTACGATCAAATGGATCAAGTACAAAGACGTCCATACATCAGACAAATTATTGACACCATAACTTGTCGTTTGTTGGAATTAAAATCATCATTAGAAACTGTTGAATTCTTTGAATATACGTATCCTGATAACGCTCTTAAACAAATGCTCATAATACCTCAGGATGTAGAAATACTTTGCCCATTTTTCTATCCATTTGAAATTAGACAAAAAGAAATGCAATATGTCATTGATCAAATTTTCGCTGGTAATCGCATAGGTGATCCCACACCAACTCAATCAGAATTAGAGCTTCGAGAACAACAACGCTTGGAAGAAGAAACGAGATTAAGGGAAGAGAAGGAAGAGGAGATAAGACGAAAATTAGCACTGGGCGAAGACATTGAATCCATACACTCAGAAGTACTTACTCCTGAAGAGAAAGAGAAAAGGCGACTAGAAGAAGAATATAACCGGCATGTGAATAATATTCAACGTATGGAACGGTCAAGAAGCATTGTTAGACTAAATGCTAAAAAATTGAATAAAGATAATGCTTTATATTTGGAACTTGCAGGTCTTAAAAAACCAGAGGCATCGCCATATATGAAAGAAAGAGCCGCTGCGCTTATTAAATCGATTTATAAGCGATTCATGGAGATAAAGCGAGAGCAAAAACGGGAAAACAAATTAAAAGAAAAACTTCAAATGATTATAACCTCACAACCTAAACCATCGGAAAAAACAGAATTAAAAAGAGTAGAACAGATACGCCGCAGTTATAGACAAAAATATCATGAGAAGTGGTTAGAAGATCATATCAAAGAAAAAGCTCACATTTTACAAATCAAAGAAGATTATATAATGGACGATATAACCAGTGAAATTAGGGAGTGGTTTCGAGTGTGGTATAACAAAGTCCGTACATTTGATGAGTATCCGTGGCCTGAAGAGGGTGGATCAATTTTAGTTGTAAAAGGAGAAACTTTTACTATAGAAGAATATATTGAGTATCGAGCTAAGGAAGATAAACGTCTGAAAGAAGAAGCTGGTAATCCAAAATCTAAACAACAAATTAAAGCAGAAAAATTGGAAGCAAAATTAGAACAAAGACGTATAGAGAAAGAAGCATTGGAAAAAGAGAAAAAAAGATTTAGCGATTACAGAAAATCACGACTCAATCCAGCTAATGATCCGGGAATCTATTTCAATGTAGGTAAACAATTTGAAAAGTTACGAGAAGCGTGGAAAGATTATCAGACACAATGGAGAAATATTGATGTACCAGATCCTCCCTTAGAAGTAATCAAAGGCTACATAAAAGATTTAGTCGTAGGCACCGCTTATCAAGAAGTACATTTACAATTGCGGCCCATTGTAGATGAGTTAATGAGATTAGAGTTAGAACAGTTAAAGGTGTCGCTCAAAAACGATTACAATGTCGCTGGGATCAGCAAGCCTCCTCAAAGTGAAAAAAGGAAAAAACCAAGGAAACCTAGGGTACCGAAACCGGAGAAAGTACCACCCGCCAGAATGTTTCAAGAATTGTTTGACGAAGGTATCATTAAGCAGCATAAACATCTAACTATTGATGATTTTTGGGGCGACAGAAACTATGCTGCAGCTGATATGAGAGCAATTGAATGGACGCCAACGTTCCCACCGCCATGCCTAGGCGATGTTCGAGAACAAATAAGAATTCGATGTTTGTTAACGCTAGGTTCATCTTGTCGCAATGCAAACCGGTCCCTACTTCTTGTGGGGCCCAAAGGGTCAGGAAAGAAGACACTCGTTTATGCATTGGCAACTGAAACCAATTCAATTTTAATAGATCTATCACCATTTAATGTTTATAACAAATATCCAGGTCCAAAAAACTTAAAAAAGATGTTTAATCTAATCAACAAAGTAAGCAGGCTTATGCAACCCGCTATAATTTTAGTGTCGGACGCTGACAAAATATTTTACAAGAAAGTACCTCCCGAAGAAAAAATGTTTGACCCAACACGATTACAAAAAGACTTATATAAGGAAATTGTGAAACCTTTATCAGACAAGGATAAAATTCTAGTAATTGGAACAGCATCAGAACCATGGTTGACGAAAGGCGCTTTAATGTTAAAGGTATTTTCATCTATGATCGTATTTCCTCGAAGCGACTACGGTAGCATATCATTTATTTTAAAGAAAATTTTGATGAAGTATCATGGCATAGATAGAGAATTTAACGTTAATTCTTTAGCACAAGCATTGCGTGGTTTTGACATAAACACTATAAGGCGTGCCATTGAGACAGTGCTGAACGGTGATAGGATTGCACAATTATACTACAAACCACTGGAACCTGCAGAAATACTGAAAGCAGCAATGAACGACAGTCAATGTAACTACATAGATCCATTTGATTATGACATGTTCACGCAATGGTACCTTGCGTCTTCGCCATGGGGAGGAGAATATGCTTATTACATGCTAATGCTGGAGTCGCAACTTAATTACAAGTTAAAAGAGGAAAAGAAGAAGAAAAAATAAAATAACTAAGTATTGTCATATATTCATTAGTAAGTTATTTTTTTAAAATTCTATGGTCAGTTTATGTAAAAACGGCTCTTTGACCACTGTAATGGATATCGCATCATCAATGTTTTAAAAATAACGGTTTGTCATTAAAGTTTGTTTTATACTGCATAAAAAGGAATTGTTAAAAATAATTATTATAAACTAAAATTATTTGTATAAAATACATTTTGGAAAGGAGTTATAAATGCGTATTCTTTGTCATAGAAAAATGATTTTATTGCCTTATTGTTAAAGGAACATAATATACAATATGAATATTTGTCAAAAAAGAAAAAAATGCAAAAACTTTGTTCAATATGCTAGTTTAAGTCTTGTCTCCAATCGTATACTAAAGATTGGCAATTTTAGCATAAAATCTATTTATTTTTATAACAAAATTCAAATAAGTTCTAATTTTTCTCACCTACGACGCTTTGGCAGCACTATCTACACACATAAAAAGCTTTCGATATCTGAGGTAAAGCTTGTAAAGCGCAACTAGTTCTTTAGGATAACCAGAGATGTCGCTGCGAAGTCATTGTTTTAATAGGTTTTATTTTTGTAACCGCCGGCAGATGGCGCTTTTACAAATATTCTAACAGACAAACAAGAGGCCATTTATATTTAATAAATTTGAGTAGCTTAGTTGATTTCTAGGACACGATGTGTGTAAATTATTTGTTGTTCTTACTATTTTATTATATCTTTGATAAACTTGACTGCATGACATTAGATTTTTTACTTTATTACTACCATTAGATTTCTCTACAGAATTGTGTATTTTCATTACAATGGCTTTGCCAATGTGTTGAAAAGTTCAAACAATTTAATTTAAACAAAAATTTAATTCGTTTGTAAGACAATTAGTATAGGTACAATTAAAATTCATTCGTTGTCATGCTTTACCGCAAACAATCCGTTGCTTCGCAATTCGTCAGTGCACCGGGACGACCAATAATGCCTGGTTTCCCCAAAACTGGGTCGCGGTGTCGGTGCTCAACGAACAAAGCCCACACTGGGCTGCACCCACTACCGACTCCACTTCCCCGGATGCCGCTGTCTCCGCTCCCCGCCGCCATTTCCGCGCGGACGGGGGAACTTCCCCAGTTGGGGTGGGGCAGACGCTTCCGTCAAGTCTGCCACCGCGCCGGCACTACAATAGATCCTTTATTCCTCCCCATCGCTAATCTAGTAGGTGATGCGATTAGGAGCGTTTTAGTTGTCTCGATGTTTTTGTGGTTTTAATCTTAATTAAGATGAGAGTCAATAATTAAAAAATCTTTAACCTTAGCTCTATTTATGTATTTGATTACTAGGCGACACAAAACTTAAAAGTGACAATTTTTTCGTCTGAAATATGTTTTTTTTATTAACTATATTAGAGCCTTACCCAAAACATTTGTGACTAGTTGTGGTAATTAAATAGTTGGATAGCATTAATCTCTAGCTTAGTTAAGTAAAAAGCTCATTGTTTTTATTAGTTCGTTTTAAACGTCAGTCAGTTTATATATGTTCCCCTTATTTAAGTTATAGGTAAAATGAGCCTTTTAATGAAAATTTTGTAAAAGATTTTTAGCAATCTTGTCAATCATCTTTACTCAACCTTTTCTATACGTATCTAAAATAGGTAAAGATTCGTTATTTGAAATGTACTTTAAATAAAACTTTCAGACTTCAAGCGTAAGGAAATTGAAAAATGGATGTAGTTTATTTTGTTTACCTATAGATAAATCCAATATTGAAACGACCGCTGTGCGACGTGTACGACTCAGACATTTGATTTGCACTTCGAACAGACGCGACGCTTTATCCAGAGTTAATTTAAAATTAATACAACCAGGCGGCGCACAGGAAATGAGCTTAGAGCCGGCGGTTGTAGGCGGGGAGGGGAAGGGGATGAAAATAGGGGGGAAGAGGGGCTTGCGAAACGGGGATGGAAACGACGAATTAGCTGGAATGGTCGATATAATTTGATAACCGACGCCTATAGGCAAGTATCGAAAGAGCTTTTGGTACGGAATTGAAATTTATTCTTTTTTTAAAGAGTTTTCCTGTTTACTGTTGACTAGAATGACGTATACTTATTATTATACATTTTTTTAACAATTTCCTCTAGAAAATTTTTAGCAACCTTGTTTTATAAGATCAAATAGTAAGTTACAGCTTACAGCTACGTAATCTAAGTGGATTTTGTAATATCATATGATTAATTCATATTCAGAGACTTCTTGTTTTACATTATAGTTATTTAAAGTTATATATTTCGAGCAAGAGTTTACAGAAAAAAAAACTCGATAAAGAGATATAGACAGAAAGTCAGAGGGACTACAAACGATCAGGGCTCAAATATTTCGTTTACGAAAATTCATAAAATCACATTATAATATAACTTTTGAATACAACCCTGTTCTCTCGTGTGTAGTTGGTCTTCGGTGGTGTATTTAGGCGAAAAAAAAAGTAAAGATGATTAAAAAAATTATTTAAATTAAATTATAACATGTGCAGTGTGTTATGGTCTTTTATTTCTTTATTATAACAGTATTAAGTAGCGACACACTAAATAGAGATCGTTATTAGCGTTTTTACCTAGAAAGCCGAAATAACACATAGGACGGGGACATAGGAATAGAAGAGAGACAGATAATATATGAGGATATTCTATAATATAAATGTTAGTATAATTCCCTTGTACTCATGGTTTTATTCAATGATTGAATTAAAAAGTTAATTTAACTTCGTAAATCGGTGAAAGGGATATATCTCTCACAGACCGGAAAGCTGCCAACAGACAGAATGAGAGAAAACCGACGCCTTTATTGAAAAACTTTTTGTTGAAACTTCCATTTATTAAGCGGTCAAAACTTATTTAAAAATGTTCTTACATGCGGCGAAATATCATTGAATAAACTATTTACAATGTAAAAAAAACTATTTATATTAACAATTAATAAAAAAATACCAAATATGAGAAACATTTATTAACAAGCAAGTATTGCATTTCTATTTTATTTTATTTATTTCTTGCAGTATCAATTAAAGTGGAAAAAAAAATACTTCACCTTGTACGATGAATGTTGATCTAATAGTAACAAATTAAAAGTCCAAGGCTTTAATCTGCGTCCGCCCGCCCTAGCGGAGCGGCAACGCGCCGACCGGAAGTGAGAGGAACGGCAACCTCGCGACGCCATCGATCACGGCACGCACACACGCGCACTACGCTATACACACCGACACCCGCACGCACACTACCAAATCTCATTTTTTTGAGTCGTTAAAATTTTAGATTCCCTGACACTTGGGTGTTGAAGATGCAACATATTGCTTGCATAAGCTGTGGACAGAAGTGAAAATTTTATAGAAATTGAAGGATTTCACCTTAAATTTGTGAAAGAAAATAGGCTTTTAATCGATTTTTTTCTTTAAGCTTGTTGACCCATGATTTTAAAGTGACTATTTAAATAATCCTGATATCGATTTTAATTTCAATTTTTGATTTCATATTTCCGAAACACAATTAGAAACTAAAACCTACCTACCGTTTTACAACTCAAGACTATTTTATTAGAAAGCTACTTTTTATGTCATTGTTTAATTTACTTGTTTCAAATATGCAAAGTTAGAAATAAAGCTTTTTATTGCAATGCACTGTTAAAATCAACGGTACCTCCGGAGCTTTATGGCGACTATAGTGATTGCGACATTTGAAAGAGAATTTCATTAAGGCAGCAAAGCGCTGTGCCTTACTTGTTTTATTGCCAACGAGCTAGACGCTTCAGACTGAACACTTTTTTCATTTCAGTTTGTCGCGATCAGATTGAATCCCTTCATATCTATGGATTCCTATGTTTATGTGTCTCAGATAATACAATCTGATTCCAACTAGGAGATAGAAAACTATTAACTATGTAATTGTAAGTTTTATATACAAGGCTCGGTAATTCCGGTGTAAATGTGGCTTCATCTACATTTGACATAATACGTTCCGTAAAACTTTCAATTGCAAAAGTACTCGTAAGTTCACATTAAAACGGGAATCTTCGACGAGTTTTTCTCTTATACAAAGTCTAGCCTTAAAGCGAGCTTTATGCAAATTAATAGAATAGCTTCAGAATTTCCAGCGCATCGCCGTATCATGTCAGATACCAACAAAGGCCAGGAAATGCGTCGTTCACACTTGTCGAAAATTCTCTCTCCGCATACGCTTTAAGTTTTACAAAGCAAACTGTAGGGACGCTCTAAAATGAAAGGAAATTGATTAATTAATTTATTTTTTTTAGCTCAAGAATAAAGAATTACTGTAATATTAGAAAATCTTAAAAACAACACCGTGCTTGTGCTAAACATTACAAAATCAATGAAGAATTCATAGATATTTTTATTAAAAAAGTTACTCTAACACACCGATTTATTAAAACTGATTTATTAAAATCCGTAATAACTGTACGTTAAACTACTATTTCTTCTTAAATTAATATTAATTAACTTTATTAATAGCATATGATAGCTGCACCCTATACCCTATGCAACTCACTCACTACATTTAAAATTCAATATCAATGCTTATTAACTATTAGATAAAAAAAACAATCACAAGTGTGATAAGGCACCGGAAGTGGCCACCTGCGGTGCTAACGCCGGCAGCGATAGACCGGGGAGGCTTTGATGTACGCCGATAATGCGGAAACACATTAGACAACGTTCATAACACTAGGGCGTACTTTGTTACTTATGTGATGAAGTGAGATGATGCTTAGGTAAGATTTTGAATTTTTCATATGCGGTTTTATGATTTTCTTTAGTAAATTTTTTAAATAGATAAGATCTTCATAATCAATAATTCAAAATTGAATTAATTATAAACTCACTTGTTAAACGCAATGGAATCGACTTGATAAGAAAACTTGCAATGAGTGATTTTAACATTTTTATTACTAAAATAGAATCCTCAATAAGAAAACTCTAACTCAGAATGAATATCACATTTTGTACTTTAAACAAAAAAAAATACTTTCTAGTATTTCTGGCAAAGCTTGTAGTAGGGGAATGGAATACGTTACAACGTAGCAGTCGCCATATTTAATCGGATGCGGACTAACCTGTGAATCTGTGAACGAGATCTGTCTATGAAACTTTTGCTTACATTTATACTGGGAGATGACCTGAATAAGTCGACAGTCATTTATTTATTTATTTAACACGATTACCATTATTTGTAATACAATCGATTCGATCTTATTACTAGATTCAGTAACATAAGTAATATTTTATTACTAGAAAGAATATCGGTAATAACTATAGCAAAATTATTAGTAATTTAAAACTTTAACAACCTATTTTCTTATTAATAAAATATGTCTGCAACTAATTTTCCATATTCTGGTACTCTTGGTATATTTTATTTACTTGGTAAACAAAAAAAAAACCCTTTTGCTTTCATATGTTTGATATAAAAGGTCAAATAAATTGTATAGACAATGGCTAGCACCTGGCAATGATACAATACGGCTAAAATCCAGCCAATTATATGGACAATCATCAGAAAAGGGTGCGCGAGTCGGTACCTCGGAAATTTATGAAAATAAATAAAATCCCGGCAAAACTCGACCGGCTGCCGTTTGCGCTTTGTCCTCGTAGAATTTAAAAAAAACAATACGGTCTTGACAAACGGGTATAACGATCGCGCGAACACTTCTTAACGACCTCTGACAAAAAGCTCTCGACATGAAATTTTACTTATTTACATTTGTTTTGTTTTAAAATCATACAAATACGAATATAAAATACATTCCGCTTTCAAGTAAGTTATTAGTATACCGAGGATTATACACAAGTACTTACTGCTGCATTCTTAAAATAAATTTAAAGCAAAACCCTCTTACAAGCTAATTGCCCATTTGATTTAGATTGTCCACGGCATTGAATTTAATTGATTCGTGATTTTTTTTTTAGTTAAATATTTTCAACTTTAGTGCCATGAAAAATCACATGCAAGTATATTCGTAGAGTTAAAAATGAGCAAGATAAATGAATGGTGGTAGCGAAAGGAATACGAGTACATCCAGACAATGATAACATTCAGTTATTGTCATACGTCGCGACTCCACCGTCTACAGCACATGTAGAGGCAAAGTTTGATTATATTTCATAGCTTAGTTTAACTTAAAAAGCTGAGCGAGGCGTCGCGACGTCTTCAATTTTCGCCAAACCATCGTTGGATAAGCGTCTCGCTAACAGGCTGTCGCGACCCACAAAGCCTGCTGATTACCACCGCCTAGCGCCTCCTCATTATCTCCCGCCCGCCCTGTTTATTTTTCTCAGATAAAGATTAGCCAAAGTGCGGCGCCATTGGCGGGGTGCATCGTAGGGGTGCCAGGGGCGGAGCTTTCGTTCGCCCCCGCCTTTAGCGACGCTTACACCGCGAGTATGTGGCCGTCGCCATGGGTATCGCACGTCTGAACGCTATGCGAGCGCTTACCGCCTGATCCCGCGTCATGCTTGATATTAAAGGCTCCGCCGACTACCTCAGTCGGTCCGGCACCTTTACCAACTTCTCTATGCTGTTTGCTGGTGAATATTCTATTTGTAATGTGTCGTGGTGTGGATTGTGCGTGACTTGTACAGGTTCACATCATTCCTTGTAGAGGAATTACGTCAGCCTTTAGTCTGTGTCTCTTATCAATCACAATAACAAAATTTATTTTTAATATCTACAGTATCGTAAGTACAATGTGTGTTACCATGGCAGATTGTTTTCATATATCAGTTAACTTTTAACAAACCACAATTTTTTTAGAATCTTCTCGAAGACTCGTGTCCATTTGTTATTTACTTACACATACTTCGCCGTGTATCACATAGACCGCAGATAATATGTACAAGTGAATAAAATACAATAGTATACAGTTGTATTGGCTTTTCAGTCTCGATATAACTCTTAACATATTATGTCGGATTTACTTTCGCAAAGTTCTTTAAGTTGAGCAGTATAAGAATTTTCTATTTACCGCGAGAGTTCAGTATTTTATGTACCAAGATTCTGAAGTCAAAAATAGACCGAAAGTAAAAAAACTGCTACTTAAATATAAAACGCATAATAACCTAAAATAAAGATTCTTCGTCACCCTAATACAGTGCACTCCTATTACTTTGTCCCGAGCACCTGTCCCTCTTCTTAATGCTCACTAAGAACTGATATGCGTGGCCACGGCCACCAATCCTTTGTCCTCCGTCTACCATTATATCCTATATATAGCAATGTGTCCGGTCCATTGCCACCTCAATCCCATTCTAATGCGGTTGCAGTTTCAATAGTACTCTACCTTGAATTAGATGATAAAAGGGGAAAAACTATTGCAATGCTAGAAAGTTCCATCATATCTTTTGTTTTGTCCACAGTTTAAACGAATTATAGCTAGCCAGCTATCTATACTGGTCGTATTAAAACAGGTTGTTTTTTTTTAATAAAGACTCTTTCGTTTTGACGACGGCTCAGGTTACTTTAATATTTTTTATTTGTATTACAAGGAAATTTCCTCCTAAACACCCGTAAATGCCGGCAACTCTTATTTGGCTCTTCTAGTGTTGCAGTTGCCCATAGCCGTTGGAACAACTAATATTAGGCGACCCGCTGTTCGTTTGCATCCTTCTATAACAAATTAAACCTTTGCAACAAATTACTCTGTAACTAAGTTTGAAGTTGATGACAAAGACTTTAACGAGAACGGTTTACGCTATTTTTTTTTATAACATAAGGTGGCAAACGAGCAAGCGCCCACCTGAAACCGCCAAAATGGCGAAGCGACCGCTGCCCATAGACATCTGCAATTGCAGATGCGTTGCCTACCCTTATACGACGGAGGAGGAGACGCACATAAAGAGGATATTTCCCCTTCCTATGCATCACCTCCACCGTCAAATTCACTTCCTCTTCCCAACATCTCCTTATAAGAAAAGGGTGGTAAAGAGAAAGGGACTTAAATAAGGCCTCCGGCACCACACTCACATCAGACGAAACACGGAATTGCTTCCATTTGACGCCTGTCTTCTGTATGGCCGTGGTATTACACCGGGCGTGCCGGCCCATTCGTGCTAAGATGTTAAAGCGGGCACTACCACTGTTGGTTCCACGCTATGTTCAAGGCATGTTTTTTTTCCAATGAATTTTGCCTTTTTTGAACAATTTATATTCGGAATACCCCGTCGAAGTTGTGTGTTCAACGTGCCATGCTAATCTAGGGTAAATAATGATAGTGATTCTATGTAATTGGCACGTTTTACGACCAGTATTATATTAGGGTTCTTTGTCTCTAGTTATTAATAGACCCTTAGCCAGATTTTATTAAATACACTACGACTTTGCGATCTGATTCTTTCAGTGGTTCAAATTTACATTAATTTTGCCACACTCGAACCTAGAGATTATTTAATTTATGTTATTTATTTAATTCTTTAGATTAGTTGTAAACATTTTGTAACAATTCTAGTTTCATTTAGTTATATGAATATCCATCATAGTTTAGTGTATTCTTAATAACCGGGAGTTAAACCGTCGAAATAATGTTATGTACTGTGTATTGAAACATAATATTATCATCTCTCTTTATCTCTTTGAAAGTTCAGCAATAACATTTTTTTTAAACTCTATTTTATTTACATCATCACCATCAGCATAAACTGTATCCAGCGATGCAAGTTTAATATGAATACAAGTAGTGTCGATTTCATCGACTTACAGCCCCGGCATCTCGCCGTCGCCGTCGGAACAACCCCTCAGACCCTCTCGGCTTACGTCGCCTTTACAAAGCTGTAACGAGTCAGAAGGGTTTTCATCTCTTAATTGCTAACTCTTTCACACCTTTAAAAGTTACCAACTGTCGCCATTTCTGTGTCATATTTTAGATTTTTAATACTACGTAGCTTTTTTCATACGCTAAGAGTAATGCCCGTGCATTTTTAACCTTTTACATAAGGATATATAAGGCCGAAATACCTTGATTGCTGACCTCATGTGAGTGGCAGAAGAAGAGATAATTACAGAAGGTCATCAGCCGCGGTTAAAACTTTTTATACTACACTTTTATCTAATGCTGTTGAGTATACAATTGCTTTTTATAGATAGTATTACGGGCGAACACAGCTTTGAAATTTTATAACATTAAACAATTTTTAAATTTATTTAAAAGCTACTCTGTCGAAAAGAATTACGGTCTTTTGATAATCATCACTTAACATTTTCCTTCATAACGAAATATAAGTCAATTTTTTCTACTAATTCCCAAATATTAATCTTTACTTCTAATAGACGCCTTTGCAATTTTAAAACATTTTTTGCTTATAAACTTCGGTCTTTGTCATATTTACACATAATTAGATCTTTTTCATGTGATTTTTACAGTTTAACGTTAAATTCAATTTTACAAATTATGTATCTCTAATTGTATGTATCTCTTATGTATCTCTAATTTTTATAAAACACTGAAAATAATAACAAAAGGCGAATTTGAAGTTAAAAACATACAGCATAATAGAAACAAAATTTAAGAAGAAACAAATAAACAACAGAGCATATTGGGGCATTGTGGCTGAATAGCGTGACGGCCGAAGGCACTTTAAAAAGCCGGGCATTTCCAGTGGCGTCATGGGTCAAAACGCCCTTCTCACGTCGCAAGGGGTCGCCCTTAGCCCTTACCCGACTTACCACCGCAGGGTAGAATTAGGGTGTGACTTCTGAATCGCACGAAAATTGTTAAACAATTTAGTGCCCGATTATCATTGATCGTTAAAACGATTGCGTTTTTTGAATAGGATTTAATCAAGCATAATATTTGTTATTACTTCAATTGCATCAATTAGATTTAAAATTCAGGTTCTTCTGAAATCCGAGTTTTGATGATAAACCTCGAACCATTTTGTTATCTAATATTAAAGGTTTTAATTGTGTTTGCTTCGAATTTAACCAACCTATACCAATTGAAAATCGAAGTATTTAGAAAAATCTTGGCTTCAATTCAAGTTTGGTTAAATTTTAAGATTATGTTAAAGAACTTTAAGGTCGCTAAAATGTATTGATTACTATATTTTCATAGATAGATAAAAAGATAAGATGATTTGCAAGATATCATAATTTTGCAATTTTAAATGAGTAAAAGTTACTAAACGTTAATATTTTTTCAGATGCATCTTACAAGAGCTCGTGGTCTACACATGCAACGTCACAGGGTTCACAAGGTAAGTATTCACAACTTATTTGTAAATGTAACATGGTTATGATCGAAGGAATTAAAAGTCTATGTACAATTAAATGCTTAGTCAATATTAAAATGTTGTTTTTATACAAATAAAAACATTGATAATAACCAGAAAGTTGCTTCTTTTCTATATTGACTATCAGATTCGAGAATATTTTAGAAAAATTAATAATGCTCAAGGGAGACAGATTATAACTAGTATAAAGTCTATTTTTGCGTCGCAGACGTTCTTTGTTCTGTGATGCGATTTTCTTGTAGTATTTATGACAAGCCGTCGCTTGCAACTTCGTCTGCGTGGAGTTAAAAAAATAGCTTATAATACTTCCGCATACATCAGCTACCTTCCGGTAAAAGTCCCATCAAAATTGGTAAAGCCGTTTTAGTGACTACCCGGTACAAACGCCGACTTAAGTGCACACAGACAAAAAAATTAAATTTTTTTTTCGTTATCAGCAACGTAAGTTCGTCATGTTTGCTATTTTTTTTAATAATGCATACAGATACTCCAATTCTAAGATATATTAGATGTTTCTTTCTTGTACTTTACAGATGTTAATTCGTTCTAATTTAAATATTATGTACGAGTAGGTTAGATTGCTGGTAGCAATAAAGCCGCCCTTTCGCAAATATTGTAGTAACTTACTTTTAGTATACTTATTGTAATATTTGTGAAAAAAGTATTTAATGAAATACAAATAATAAATAGGTATCTATACTATTATAATAAAGCGTAAACACACGCAGCTTTGTTGCCTAAGATGTCAGCAATTACAGCATATTTTTGAATAGTTACTTTTTTAATAAATAGCCCTACACTTACGTCACGCTTGAGGCTATTTATTTTCACGCCATTACACTTAGGGGGTAAATATTTTGGATTAAAACAATAATGTGGGAGTGAGACCATAAGTTGCTGCCAATATCAAGAAAGCAAAATTGCCATGCTTTGTCATCATGTCATGTCTGTCATTGTGACATTTGCAATTGAATTTAACAAATGTAGTCAATAAAACAATATTTATAATTTCATGCAAATGAAGTCGCACGGGAACAGCTAGTTTTGAATAAAGGTTTAAGCATAATGCTTGCACTTGGCATTTTTTGAACTCTGTAGAAATGTAACGGTCTTACATAACCCTTGAAATCGGTTCAAGGCCCTGCCGCATTTCACTCGTTCAATGCAGTCCACGGTGCTCCCGTTTCCGCGTTTCCTACCCCAGTTTGAATATTTGAAAATGGAACAAATAACAATTATTTAAAGACTAGTACCTATATTTTTAAACCGTTCTTAAATAAAAGTGTATTTTGTTGATACTGACGTGTTATTTAAATGCTCTATTTCGCCATTTACACTCATAATAGCAAATTAGATTAGTATAGTGACAATGAATGAAACATTCAGTTATACTTTGAAATTATTAAATTCGTAAATTTAAAAACTGAAGCTGTAAAGTTATTACCGTACTTATCGTACATACGTTTGTACCATTTTATGCATGAAAATCAAAACAATGGGGCCCTAAAATGGCGCACGCGTTCTGCAAGCAGGCGACGGCCGCGCGACTGCCACGCGCCGAGCCCGACACCACAATGCAAACTTAATTCTTTGATTGACAGTTACAATATTTCGGTAAGTGATGCAATATTTTGATGATTATCGTTATATAGCGTTGCGACTTCACGGAGGGAGCATTATCGCTTCGTACGCTTCGTTGCCGCGTCCCATTGTCAGTGATATTCGCTCGGCTACAATATTTGTCGGTTCCAAATGATTATTATAAATTGCGCCGTTGATTTATTTTGAAATGTATTTTCTATAATAATAGTTTTCTTCTAGATTAAAATAGATAAAATCCTTTTCAAACACTCATGACACAAAAACAAAAAAATTATAATCCATTTTACATCTCGTAATTTCTCAAAAAAATTGCATCAAACAAAAAAATAAATAAACAGCCAAAGTAACAAACCGAGCGTATTAAAAATTGACTTGCAGATGTTTTGTAACGATGTTAATAAGCTAAAGCAATAAATTAAGACGAAGTTATATTTATTTGGCAAGACCACAAAAAGCGCGTTGTAAGCGGTAACTTCTGTTTATTATAGAGTTGACAGATGATAGTTAAACAAAATACAAGTCGATATAGTTCCCCGGGGAGCGGCGCCGCGTCGGCCCGTGACTACTTGCTGCCCCCAGACAATGCTTACAAACGATTTGCCCTCTCCCTGGGGAACTATTAAAATCACTGCTATTATATTAGCGTTCAATAAACCCAAAAGCGTCATTTTAGTCCCGCACCTATATTCATTTGTTTTAATCTAATCAAACAACAACATTCACTTTTATTTGTATCAAAGTCAATGTTCCACAGATTATTTAAATTTAAACATTTGTAACATCAAAGTAAAATTAAAAAAGTTCATTTGGACGCATTTGAAAATATAAAGCGTTTTTTTTATTTTTGTCATACGTTTCCAAACTTTACCAGAATTGGTATTTATCAATATTGAAATAAACAATTTAATCAATATGAAAATAATATATTGACGCCCGCTACAAACGAACAGAAATGAGCGACTGTAGCGGCCTTTATCAACTTAGTAACTGTTGTTTAATTGATCCCTCTTTTAGTAACACCTGCCATCAATTTCCCTCTTTAAAGTCAGAAAAAGAAATGATTTTAAATATGAAGTAAACATAAGAAAAGAAATGATTTTAAATATGAAAAATATAAAGAAACGGGTTTCTAACCACGACTGGGTTGTATAAGGTCCCGAAATATCGCACAGTTGCATGCGCTTTATTCACGGGCTGGCGCTATATTCATGGCATGAAGTGATACGGTGCGGTAGTGTGGAAAAAAAAGTTACAAGAAGCCATATTGGTGTACTTTTTTTCTGATTTTACGACCACTTCTATAACGATAAATTTCCGTGTTTTCACTAAACTCTAAGTCTACACTAAACGGAAATTCCCCCCACGTGAAAACAGATGAAAATGAAACGTTTCAGCCGTCCCACCTTTTGCAATGAGGGGACGGTTGGAACCTATTTTATTTTATAACGGTTCCATTTGTCACCTTATTGGTGATAGTGAGACTAAAAGGTAGGACGGATGAAACATTTATACTCACGCGGGGGCAGAGCGGGGTGACGGTTGGGAATAATCCCACTAAACAATTTACTGTCTAGAAACCACACTCACGGTGTCTTACGAACACTATATTTATAAAAACCACGACAGTTTAAAGTTAGAAATAATTTTAATTCAGAAAATAAAATAAATTAAAATTAAAATCACTAGTTAACACTATATCATAGATTTATCAAGTGATCAAATAATACACCCTCAGAAGAGACCCCTCGCACTTTCACCCCAGCGACTTTCAAAATGGCCTATAAATAATCAAACTACAACTTTATTTAAACTTAACGACATTAATTAACTTAGATTTGTTAGGTGACGCCCATAATTAATATTCTGAGCGTTATGAATAATGTCTTATAGAACCTAATAATAATAATGACAAGTGTAAGCGGGGAGCTCTGAACATAATTAACTTTCTAAAACTTACTCGTGTAAATTACTATGGATGTCTACTTAATTTTTTTAATACAGTTCGATGAAATCGCGGACAAAAGGTAGTAAAAAACAATACTTTCTTGTGAATACGATAAAACTAAATTCGCAGTCACTCAATTCCGTCGATGCTTTTATACGACAAAGCTACATTTAATACACATCTAACAGTTTGTGAGGTATTTACTTTCACAATTAAACTTTTACTTTAACTTCAACTTTAACTTATATGCTATAAGTTACATAAGGTTACAAAGCATCGCTATAGACTAATAAGGACAGGCAAAACAGCTCAACCCAAAAGTAAACCGATATTTTCGAAGGAAAACCGACTGTAAGTAAATGAAGCTAGCGGTGGCTTCGAAAATTACCTAAAAGTAGCTTTCGGTTCTGCTCTCTTCGTGCTTACGAAGATTAGAATGAGTGTGAAAGGGATGGATGCGAAAGAAAACCGCTTTAGGCGTTGGGAGAAGCCGTAAGCGCCCCCATTGTTTTGCGTGCTACGGAGCGTGAATATGCTATACGTATAGAGAAAGCAAGAGCTGTAATTTAAAATGAAAATCAGGACGTTCTTGACGGTAGGGGACGCTAACGTACTTTTTCATAGAGACGCCTTAATCGACTCGCTTCATTGAAGTGCCTCTCTTTAGTACATTCTGTTTGTTATAACTGTATGTACGAAATTGTATGGTATTAGATCTGAATTTACCCTGGAAATTTCAAACTCAGTATAACAGTACCTAACTTTGAATATAATTTCCTTCGTGACTAGCTAAGTATGAAAATACATAGGTAAAAAATGGAATCAACATGTTTGCTTTACAAAAGAAGTTAATTAGTTAGTAAAGTTAAGATTTTCTCTACGATCATCTCTACAGCGCTTAGCTTTGCCTAAAAACCAAAAAAAAATTATTTAAGAAAAACACAAAAAGTGTCTAACAGCAAATCTTACATTCGAAATTAAAGTATTGAGAAAATTCGTAAGCTAATGTAGTGTCACTGTATTTAAAACTTGCGTAAAGTAGAGTCATTACCAGCAGACAGCGTTAGTTTTCACTGCCACAACTTTGATAAAATAACATATAATGAAAAAGACAAAACCTTAAAAAACAGTAGGTATGTTTTTCTATGGATCTTCCGGCACTGCACAATTGAAAGATGCAATAAAACTTTTGTTAAAAACAGCATCGCTAATAACAACTATAGATGCAGACTGATGACTTTAATTAAGTTCTGTGACGTAACAGGCTTCCTGCAATTCCCTTTGGTGTACGAACGCCAGAGGCAACTGTCCTCCGACAAACGCCCCGACGCCTTGCACAAACAACTTTACACCAAGAGCCTTTGATCTGTCGCTGTTGGATCGTCTGCGGTTTGCCCTCGGCGAATTTACACGCTTTTATAACTTAAGACCAACTCTAAAACTGTCATCATCCAGTAAACCGTATCGGGTTATGGCAGCAGTTGTGTTTAATTAATTTATGTGATAAATTAATTTACTAGTGCTTTTTTTTTGTTTTTAACTCGAGTCTTCGTTTCTAAAACATTCGTACAAAAATGACAGCGATGAATTTATTGAATTGAAAGATTTTCAAGATAAATACTTTCATAAAAAGATTCTCGAAAAGTATAAAACAAAATCAGAGTTTTCTCCAAGATACGAGAGCCATCTAAAGTATCGTATGTCATTTGATTGATGCAATATTGGAATAGTGTGTATACTGGGGGATAGTAAACATACAATATTGCTGAGATATGTGAAGAAAAAAGCTATAAATTACCAGACAATAGTTTTTTTTTAGTTCTCTTAAATAAAGTTTTTGGAAGTACTGATGATATGGATTGGACTTATAAAAAAAAAACGAAAACAAGTTATTTCACGAATAAAAGACGTTAACGTTCCAATCCAGATTGCATCATAACCACCCCAAACTCAGAGACGCGTAGATCATGGAATCAAAAATACACCCGAAATCAAAAGAACTTTCCAGATTGTTGCTCTAACACTAACAACGCGTGAAATCTTATTGAGAGCTTCAAAGAGATCTAATTCACGATTTCGCTGATGCAAGCTAAACTGCTCTTTAAGTTCAAACACAAAGGGTGCAATTGCAATGGCTCATATCCCCTACTTCGCCGACGGCATTGTTCGCCCCCAAAGATGCGGCCAATATTATCTGCAGCGATTTGAAGCCTCGAGGCGATCTGATGAGGCTGTCGTGTTAATTCTTAGGGTATTTGACCTCGTTTGCACATACAAAGAGCTACTCCTATATTATTATTTTCATTATTCGTTCTTACAAAAATCTCTAAGGCATAAACAATATTCAACATTTCTTTGATTTATCTTCTCATCTGTTTATATTGGTATTTTTAAAACAATACGATTAAGAACACTTGCTTTAGCAAAACTTAACAAATACTCTAGCTTCTTCTGACTCTGTCTGGTATAGGGGATACTTGAGAAGACAATTCTGTTCCTTAGAAGTATAAAAAGCAATAAATAATATTTGTTTCTTTTGTTCCAGGCTATGGCACCAACTCATTGTCAGCGATGTCGAAATCGACACTGGATGCTCACACGCATCTCCGTCAGCCGGGTAAGTGGTATATTTCAATAGTAAAACTTACGTATCCTGAAATGACAAAATAGATAAGGATCAATAATACTTCATACTAATATTATAAGTGCGAAATTTTTGATGGATGGAGGTTTACTAGAGTTTGTAGGCTAAAACAGCTGAACGAATCTAGATAAAATTTGACACAGATGTAGAATATCACTTATATAAAAAAAAAAACAAAAGTGACACTTTTGTTTTTTTTTATTTTCCACGCGGAAGGAGTCGCGGGCAAAATCTAGTAAATATGTAAAGTCAAATAATTACATTCGAGTAAAACTTAAAAACGTTTTAAAAGTTATCCGATTTTATTCGAGACTGTAAAAACAACGCCCGCCTTGCGAAAATAATGTAAAGTAAAATTTAGAAGACGATGTTAAATGAACTATAAATGCAAAGGTTATTTGCTCAGGCCGGGCATATGTTTGTTATCCACGGTCAGTTAGCCATTCATGTTCACAGTTTTATTTGTCTCAGACCTTAGTTTGGACAGCATCGCAATTCGACTTTGACTAATATTTAAAAAGAAAAGTTGACATTGTAATATACATTTTCTTTACTGCTGAGGTAGGAGATTTAATTCAACTGTTTACTGCCTTTTCTAATAAAGGATAATAACTCCAGTGATTGCGAGGACCATGAAAACGAATAACCTGCTCATAGCAAATAAAAGTATGTTGTTGAGTTTTGCATATTTCTTAGTAGACCTTTTTAACGTAACCTTTAATTGAAAAATTAAAAAGACTGGTTAGTAGTTAGTAGGTGAATATATAAACACAAAATTGCATATAAACTTTTAGAACAGTTATAAAGATAGTTGTAATCTAAGATACAGGATTTTTCTTAATTATTAGATGTAAAAATCAAAGATTATAGTTACTTACGTGTATCGTACTCTCTGGAAATTATAAAACGTATGCAAATAATTTAAAATCACAGATTGTCTAATTTACTTTAAAGTCCACATATTCCTCACTTATTTTCCATGTCGCCGGTCATCTAACCATGACCATGTTTTTGCTCTCGTGTGTCAGCCGGTTTCCCTCAGTGCTAATGAAGAGATTTTCATTAAGAACCGACCGCCGACGGTCGTTCAGTTAACTAACCCCACTCGTCATACGACGTGACTAATTTCACTAATGCTACTGAAATTTAACTGGACGAAATAATGAATTAACATGTAAGACTCTTAACTTCTAAAACATGCCTTACAATATTTAAAAATATCAAATCGCAAAATTAAAAATGTCAATACAGTAGGTTTTTACAGATACGAATGTGCAAGAAGTGTGTAATATACCTTTTATTGTATTTCAAAAAGAAAGAGATATTAATTCATTTTTGTGCAGGTATTTTTGCAGAGAAAACTCACGCTTATAGTATGTCTCCCTTAGTGTGGCGGGTATTTCAGTCTTCTCGGTTTCATTAGATAACGTCACTGGTGTTTACACTCGTGGCGGTCGCGTGCCCTCACTGTAGTCTCAAGTTACAACGGGGTGCTCAGACATGCGGATTCTGTTTGCGAAATTTCATCATAACCTAAGAATATCTCATAGCTTCAATAGACGTCCTTTTTAGAAATTACATTACACTAGGTAATTATTGTAACAAAAACAAAGAAAACCTTTCCTCAGATCCATGCATTATCTTTGATGAACATTACTACAATTCTGACAAGGAAATTTGTAGAAAATTTTCAACTCGACAGACCTATAAGCAGCACTCGTAGCAAACACGATCCCTAATAAAACAAGCGGCGCATATTCCATCGCTTTACACGCATTGCATGTCTTAAGACTATTTCGTAAGTGTGTAAGTCAAAGCGTGTACTAAGGCGCCTCGCTTTTATCCAAGTTTCACTGCTACTATAACAGCTGCTACCATGTTTATAACCCTTCAACATGATCTATTTCGACACACCCTCACCATTTTCATACATCGTACCAGATAACACTCTATTGTAATGGAGAGAACAATGAATTTATAGTCTCACTAAGAAATAATATCAAATCAGATATTCCGCATTGCGTAGAACTAAAGACAATAACGACTAGTTTATGTCTACTTTTTTAATATATATGTGGGGTCACATTAATTATGAGAATAATTACGAACAAGTCTAAATACATATTGTATAATACTGATCGATGGCAAGGCAAAACTCTAGATACTCGTACAATTGCTAAATGTATTGTACGTATGTAAAACACAGTGTGAGTTTATAATAGAGATTGTAACCGCACGCGGGTTGGGCGTGTCGCTCCCTCCCACGACAACCACAAGCAAATGGAGGCACTTAAGCAATGAGCTCGATCCACGACACGTCGTCGACGAAGATTGACACCGATATAATTGCAGTGCGGCCTCATAAAACAATGTTATTCGCACGCGTTTGTTCGCCGCGCCGCGCTACGCAAACACGACACAGTAAACAAGGGTCCAGGAAAAAACCAGTGATTTTTTCTTACAATGTATACACCATTGCGAATATGTTTCTTTTGCGCTTTTTGTAAGGTTTTTGTTATTGATTTTAAAGCAGTACTGAAGAATTCTATGACTGCTTAACAAAGAAGTGACGCGGTACACCCATAAATTAAAACTAATCGATGTTTTTGAACGCCTATTCATTAAGATTTGTAAAGATTTTTTTACTATATATAATTCCATGACATACTGGTTTTACTTTTGTCATTACGTTCATATATTTTTTTAAATATAGTTACTTATAAAATTGCAATGGGGTAATCTGTCGACATAAGTTTTTTCATTTAAATCTCCCGATTACTTTCTTTTGATCGTCAATTTACGTCTTATTTAATGGACTCATCGTGTAAAAGCAATTACGTGCCAAAATTTTCTTCTCCTAACGAAGAGCAATGTCGAAATATATCTTTGGGGCAAGCATTATTGAATCCGCAACTGGGGAATACAAACACATAGGGTTGCCACTCAACAACTTTACTACTATTTTATTTACGGTAACTTCATTAATGTTGCCAAGATATTTAAAAAAATGTTGATAGACTTGCAACATTAAAATATTCTTAAATTAGGTTATACTCACAATAAATGGTTACATAAGTACTTGAATTTACAAGCCTTTTTCCCTCCTTAGGGAGCGCTAAGCAACTACGGGTAGCATGTAATCGAAAACCAGAAATAAGTCAAATTGAAATTAGTTAAAAGGATTTATTTGTTTTTATTGATACTCCTCACTTGATTGTACAATTAATAAAAATTAAGATGTTTCAATATTTAACCAGTTTACATTTTTTCCATCCTTAAATAATAGTTGTGAGGGTCCGTTAGTCGCGCGCACCAATCTCAGCCGCTCCCCTAACCGTTGATAATGCAGCAACGACTATTAATTATCCCTTTATTATTATTTTATTGCCTTCACATCCGCATTGTCTGCATGCATTCAAGACATGTCTTTAGAAGTCGCTTCTATTTACACGATTTTAAGAGCATTAGGTAACGAGAACAGATTGAAGCGCAGTTATTCCAAAGAAATTTTTGTTATTATGTCAAGCAATATGAACAATAGAATAAAAACAATAAACAATTGTTGTCAAATCTTTTATCAAGATCAAATAAAAGGGTTGAGGAGTGTCTTTTGCGAGGTAATTGCGGGATGTGTTAAGCCGGTATCGGATATGCACGTCCGCTCGTCTCAATAAGCCGTCTCACCGCACTCAGAGACGGCCTGACGCTATTTTCTTATTGCCAGGCACGTGTATCACATTTTATAACAGATATTTATACGTCACTAAAGAATTGAGGTTATTTATTCACACTAAAATTGTAAACCAATAATTTGACCTACAGTATTTTGTTTTAAAAAAACATAATTAATGTAATGTAATTTATGTTAAAGAGAAATATAGAAAACAAATAAAGCGTCTTCTTCAAGTACTCATGAGAAAGTTTAAGCCAAGAGTCTCAAAACGTTTTAAATTGTAATCCAAAACCATCACCAAGTAAAGTCAGAACACAACTAGCTTTACTGTGGGTAGGTAAACCTTAAAACAATAACATTTATTAACTCAACGCGGTAGGCTATCGGTCGCCGGGTGTCTGTACATCGGACTCATAATTGGAATACAAATTCGTTCTTTGACGCCGCGGCCGCACGTAGAAGGGTCCTGCCGTGATTTGGCCTTTTGTGCGTCACGCATTAACTCCTTCAAGCCTCAAGCTACACTCTACCCTGCGCTCCTGCATGCATACAAAATTGAACCTTAAGTCTCACTGTTATAATCTTGATTTACGCTTGCCTGCACGCATGATCGAGGATTTTGGATTCACATAGAACGCAATAAGAACTGTTTCGCATACTGAAAAAATCACATTTATTTTACGTTTCGGGAACAGACCAAAGAATATTGAACTGTATTACAATACAACAAAGATTAATTCAGCTCTTTGGTCGTTTGTGAATACAACCATTGATGATTAGTGCTGGTAATGGGCACGTAATTACAGTAGAAAGGTGGACATTACGAGGTTCATTTGGCGTGCACCAATCGCCCGAAGGGTTTCGAACTACAGAGGAAATTAGCCCTGCGCTGATTTCATTTAGCAACAAACATTGTGCTACGTGAACCACTTGTGTACTTTTGTGAACTCAATTTAACACTAGCTTTATTTGAAGCCGTATTTCATTATCGTTTATCCGCATCCAGACAAAACAGTTAACGTCCGAACCCAATCATTATCCATTTGTAATTACTTATTGCATTTTAAATTATCATTTTAAATATATTTTCTTCTAAGTGCTCTGCTGTACGACATGTTAATTAACAACTTACCATCAGCCCCTCAATTTACTTTTCGTATTCGTAAGACACGATAAAATGCTAATAATTTAAGCGGTCTTTAACTTACTAATAGCCGGTTTCCCAGCTGGGTTTAACTATTAGATAGTGTTTGTAGTTCGATAAATTCATAAAATGCGTTTCCGAATTATGTAACTTGAGTTCTACACCGTTGAAACTTAGGTTAAAACTAATGAATCGCTTGAAAGGCGAAACCTAGCATAAATCCTAAACATGTGTATACTCGTAGATAGAAGCTCTCAACGCGGTTTACAAGACTACCATTCCGCCAATAAGTCGACACAATAAATTTCATACGAGGGCGTCATGTTTGCTGTGAGAATGTGTTGACCCACGCACCCGCGGGGGAGTTGTCTGGTACGACGGAAAATCGAAATATCGCCACAACAAAATAAACGATTCGCTTCTATTGATCGAGAAAACATTCAATGCTTTTACCAAAAAGTAACTTCGGAATTCCTAATTAACAAAACAAACATCACGATAGCTGGATACACTTTCTAACCGTAGGATATAAGGAGAAATGAGCAGATTGCAATATAGCTAAAGATACCTTAGCTTTTAATTTACATATTGCATGAAATTAAGCCAGTAACTTAGACAATAAAGAGTTATCTACTACAATTGATAACTCCTTACCCTACAAATTAATAACACATTAAAAAAATATACCAAACCCGACCAAGCACATTACAACAGAGAGCTTAGACATCTTGATGTTGTTTCAATAAAAATACGCACGACAAATAAAACACATAATTACGATGCCCCTAAAAATCATAAAACCATTTATAGGATCAAAATCGAATGATCTCCCCAAGAATGGCAGAAAACAATCAAATCGTGAATGGTTTAACGGGGAACAGAAGTCGCGACGAGATCAGCCCACCAATTCCGATCGCAAATGGAAAACGTAATGACTTTCGACAATTCTATTTGCCGACTACACGAAACATAACTTCGTTTGTGACGATCACAGGTGATGTTTGAACATCAGTACCGAAATCAATCGACTCGAAGACAAATCAATTGAAAAATAAATGATAAAAAAAAACAATTCTAACCAACGCGCATCAGAATCCGTAATTAGTGAAACCAGGGTTATACGAATATTATGAATTACTCTGTCGAAGAGATTAAAGGCAAATAAACTGTAACTTGAAGAAATAAGGCATAGTTTTTTCATATACTTTTTTGATTTTCGCCTTTTATGGATATTTGGGTTGCAGATGTCACCTAATATTAGCAATTCAAGAAATTGTTTTATTTAAAATCGATGTATAATCGTCAATTAGCAATTGTTCTCTCGTGAATTAGCTGTCTCTTGTATTGCCTCCTTATAAATATAATTATTCTGCTTGCCAGCTTGTACAAAAAATCACTAACTGAACGGACCTCTGTTTTTAGGGTAGCGTATTACATTTTTTCTTTATTATTTTGTAACTTCTTGTGTTATTATTTACTTCTATATTGCTTTTCTGCTTAAACGTGTGGAATCATGAGTTTTGTAGGTCTGAATTAGGCATGGGATATACACTTTGTAATACCTAAGTGACTTCTCATGTCTATAATGATTGAGAAATTTGTAACAAATCTATTTTAATAACTAATTACCTTAAACACGATCGCTAAGATAAGTTGCATACACTGTTCCGCGTATCGCTTCCGCCTATCGTTTCCCGCCGGCAGTTGCACCCTACACACAAGCGGTGATTTATCATAATCATCTCGATTAGATCGCGCCTCGCCCCTTCGACTCGAGGCCATTTAACCACCCTCGATTTAACAGTTATTTTCAAGCTTTTTTTAACTGGAAACGTGTCTTTTGTTGCGTCGCTTAGTCACTGCACCAATGACTCGCACTTTGAGCATCCATTCGTCTTTTTAAATGATGCTTTGACGGGTTTTCTTCAGCTATTTCACATCATCTTACACATTTGTGATGAGCTAATATTTATTATTTCGTAATAAATATTATTCTGTGTTGCAAAACAATGCCAAAATTCAAATAAGGAATAGTAATTAAATCGAAAGCAACCAAAGTAAATAATTTACTTAAAACTGAACAATAAAAATCTTAGATTTTTTACGAACACTGACTAGCTTTGGATCTCTCTCTCTCTCAAAAGTATTCATAGTAAAGTTTTATTGCATTGTGCCCAGTGGCTTAAGAGAGCATAGAGGACAAAGATATATTATCATTTCTACATTAGAAGTCTATTTTTCCCATGTTATTTTATAGGTCTAAATAGAAGTTATATAAGACTCTATAATAATAGTCGAAATGTACTGGCTTTAGTATGCTATATTATTTTCTACGAGTACATCAGTGTAGGGCGATTCGTCACAATGGTTATGCTTTATAACCCGTCGCCTAACTCGAGTATCGTTAACAATTACTATTTTATATTTAATATTAACAATGAAAGGGAACGCTAGGGGTCCCGCTATTGTTTCAGTCTACAAGCGATACCGTGACTAAAATTCTAAAAGTAGTAAATGACTAAATACAATTACAATTTTAAAAGACTATTCAAGCTTTAATATTTCAATGAATATCGTATGGCAGCAATATATTGGTTTTTTATCGATACACTACTGAATAAAATTTTAAAATAGTTTTTGCATCGTAACATATATAAGTAGAAATAAAAAACGGCAAAATTTCGATAAAACAAATAATCAATTGTTACTTATTTAAATTGCAGTTGAACTTACAACAATTTAAACATAAACATTTAATTGCAATTAACAATTAAGTTAATTTGGCCTATTTCATCATCCACTTGCCCTTATCCCTTAAGGAGGGTCGGCACATTATGTGCTGCTCTTTCATACATATCAGCCGTCATATCTGAATCCAGTCCTTTTTAAAGCATATCCTCTTTCACACAATCCATCCATACTTTCTTCTGTCTTCCTCTACCTTTGTAGCCATCCACATTCAGTTTTAACACATTCTGGTTTATTTGCATCACATTTTGTAGTGTATATTCTTATATCAACGATAATTATTTGCAAATAGTTGAGTTTGAACACATTTACAGTGGCTACTTTAAAGAACAGAGTTTATAAATGTTATCGTGATCGCAAAACTACTAAATGACGAGGTTTGGTTAGGGCACTTCTATCTATGCTAATAGCACAGTTGCAGGTCGACGCTCATTAAATCTATTTCGAATGCAATCTAACAGTGTGCATGTTATCACGCTTTTTAGGCTATTTTGTTGTTAGTTTCGTTACCATGGCTACTCTATCTAAAGTTTCTTAAGACTAGAATTTTTCCTGTTTAACTAAAAATAGTTTTATAAAAGCCTTGAGTCTTCCTATGAATTATTCCTCGTGTATTTGAATAATTCAAGCAGTATGTTTTAAATAATGTGTATGCTTTTTTTTAAATATAAGAGAAGCATAATATGTATAAACTTAAGTTTAATAACAAAAAGTTACATTACTTCCTAAATTAACTTACACATTTTAAGAAATTTCGTCGCGTGAACTATTTTGTTCCACCGTTTTAATGTAAAAACATTTATAAAATCATTAGCACTATTTTAATTAGATTAGTAAATTAAGCAAATACTTATTTAATTGATACTTTACGTCTGTCTACAGATCCATATCAGATGTTTGGGCCAACGAGCAGTCGTCTAGCTAATTCAGGTATTTATGCAAATTTTATTTCTTCACATTCTAGTAGCTGGCAAATTTTCATGCAAGCTACTTGCACGTATCAACTAGAGGCAGGTGTAAACTACTACCGACATTCCAGTTCGTAACATACAAGAAGCTAGCACGATATTTGATTTCGTGACAGCTACGAGCATGCAAGTTGAAGGGAGGTTCGAAGTTTAATAGTGACACGTACTGTTTCGTGAACTGGTATTCAAGCTACTGAATCAATTTCAATGTGTAGTTCCGTTTTTAGGGAAACTGCAAAAATGTAAGGACAGCTTATTATTAATAGAAATGTCACTCGAGTGTCACTGAAACCTTATTCTTCTCCGGGGTTTTTTAATTACAATCAGTCAATTTAAGAGTCTAGATACATAAAGGGTTTTTAACAAACTTCAGTTAAAAGAGATTTTATAATAGGAATTTGTAACGAATAAAGAAAGTCAATGTAAGATCGTGCGCGATAGTAAGGTCGATTGATTACAAGGGGTTCCAGCAAGTGACAAGTGGCGATTGCTCCGTAGTGCAATCAGATCCTAACTAGCATGGGGCTTAAAAGTCCGTAGGGTAGAGGCCGCATGCAGTTAATACAAGAGGTCAATCGACCGTTGGCTTTATTGTTCTAAAAAAGCACCAGTGTAAAATGCTACGTCTGAAAGTTTTTTATCTCTTTGTACTGAATGTCTTCCATTATTCTTGTTTCTACCGACCTATTTTCCTTCCAACGTTTTGTTACATTTGTTAGGCTTTTAAAGTTCTTTGTTTGGAATAAGAAGAGGAATGGGTGCTGTTCATTATGCCTTTATAAGATAATCCTACGGTTGTCATAACAATGTCTTCAACTGTTTTTAGTGGATATCTTTAAAAACGATATTATTACATATTTCTTTTTACTTTTCTCTAACTGACATCCTTATCTAGAATACAGCCCGATGCGATATACATTTCTATAGCGATGTGATATCCTTAGTAGGGATGTGAATTTTGTTATGCATAATTTGTTAAACATATTTTAACTCCACTGGCGAGTTGGGCAGGAGTCGTGGAGTTGTGTAACCTAACCTCTAATAACTACTACTAGTTAATTCCAAACAAAGTAGATATAAGACTGGATCTACACTAAATCACATAAACAGTTAAGTCACACGCTATAGATGACGTAGATAAGGTGTCATTTTCATATGGGAAAGCTGGGGTCAGGAGCGTATTCACTATCTGTTTGATCGGCCCCTGAACTCTAAATGTTAATAAGGTGCCGCCGTTGGCACGCCACCTACTTGACATAGCACCTGACCCGTGCTAGTATTCTTGAGGTGGTACTGTGGTTTAAGCTAGTACGTGGCTTACAAGTATGAAGAGAATGGTCGTATATTTACTTCCATATAGTTGTAAATTGTTGCCTAGTGTACTAAAATACGCAACGTCTGAGAGTCCAAAGGCTGAGTATTGACTGATTGTGGCAGTTATGTAATTCTTTTTTCCACTTACTATATCCAGCTAAAATCATTTCGCTGTTCTCTGTAAAGTTAACGGTAACAATAACGGTCAGATCAAGTGATCTTTTCTACCAATATCTCCCTTTTTATTTATTTATATAATTAACAGAACAGCTATAGGCTGCCGGTATTGTAATAAAAATAGTAAATAATAATATCACCATGTTTTAACGCATAATTCTTTACACCTATATGTCTCGCTAATTCAAGTCAAACTTTTAAATCAAGGCATATAATTTTGTGACTATTAAGGTCACGCCACACCGGAGGGAACTTTGCTGGTTCGTGCCGAAACAATTAACGCCACGTGCCTACCCTGGACCCCAAACACGGACCACCATTCCCACGATAGTGGTTTGACTCAACTCACCTGTAGTCGATATGCCCTTTTAACATTATAAATTATTATCATAATTAGTTACATTTTTATCTAATATTATAAATGCGACAGTAGATGGATGGATGGATAGATGGATGTTTGTTAGAGTTTGTAGCCTAAACGGCTGAACAGATTTCTAAGAAATTTGGTACAGAAGTGAAGGATAGTCTGGAAAAACACATAGGCTACTCACTTTTGTTATTTTTAATTCCACGCGGACGGAGTCGCGGGCGTAAGCTAGTCTGCTATAAATAGGTTTACGTTTGGGCTTGTGAGCTTTACTTTAGTAAAGGAAAAAATAATTGCTTGTAATTGGTAAACTCAGTCACAGTCAGACTATAAATGATAATACTTACTTAGCAGTCCTTCAGTCGTGATTTCTTAAACATCTATAAACCTCTCTGGGTGTCGAAGTAAAATTTTTAACCTTATTTAACTGCTATATTTGAGTTATTACTTACATCATTACAAAATAATCAAAGTTGTATCGAGTCTTTACTTACTAAAAAATACTTACAAAATTTTATACAGTCTATTGATGAATTCTATGTCGATTGTATAAGGGAAACGACACCGGGGATGTTAAGTTGTGACTAGGGTATAATCGATCGGATATAAATCTCGCGATGTTACGCTCGTGTGAACGGACTTAGACGCGGATAAGCGGAGCGTCGACAAAAAAAAATACAAGAAAATAAAATGTTACATACTCGTAGATAAATAAATATCTTCTTCTTACGTGTATTTCTGCTAGAATCGGTATACTCACGTAGAATTTGCCCTCCAAATTTTCGTCCTTCAGACCGATTTGTCTTCGTTCGTACGTATCGTCTTAGATTAAGGCATTTTTTTAGTCATTTCTCAAAAACTAGTAATGCATCCGTACTTTACATTAGGCGAATATCCGCTTGTTTGCTCCCTTGGTTATAAATGAAATCGTAAATTAGGTGATGATAAGTTTTTGAAATTTCGTGACTGAATTTTCTATCGCTACAGTGTTACGCTTGGCAGCGTCGCAAGTAAGTCGTGCGCATACGAAACATACCCGCCCAATATCGCACCGCGGTTCGACCCCGGCCATTACTGACTTACTACACGCCTCCAAGACCGGGCCACATTTATATGCGGCAAGGGATTTTCCTCCTACAGAAAACACCCAAAATGTCTAACTTACAACGTGTCACTCGATGTCACTTGAACAACTTGCTTGCTTTGAAACCGATATACTATTCAAACATTTTTGAACTCTTTAGCGTTTATAGCTAAACATTTTATTTTTGATAAAACCTATTCACTTTAAAACAGGCATTTAAAAAGTATAAAAATATAAAAGATCAGAACAAAAGTGGCTTTTTTTAATCAACTACCAGACATTAACCAACTTTCAAAGTATTATGATATATCCATCTCTCAAAATAACTTTGAAAAACAAAGACATCTATATGTGTAACTTTACAACAGTAACAATTAACAATTCTTCACATTCATATTATTACTCAATACGTAAAGGAGTTACACTATAGAAATAAAAGTGCATTACATTTTCTCGTGCACAGACACCCCTATTTCGAAGTGCAATTTATCCTTTTGTAACATTTCGAGTGTCCTTTCCAACCATTTTCCCCATTCAGTCGCGAGTGAACGAAATTAGCATGGAGACCGACAAAATGGCGAGCGTTGAAATAATGGCGCGATAATCGCAGCGGAAACATCATGTCGCGCCTTCGCTATACCATCTCTCGCTTAAAGCAACAATAATCAAGGCAATCGACCGTTAATAACGAGAATCAAAACACGCAATATTTTCATTGCAACAACAAAACTAAGTATATTAAACTGCTGTGTCTCTTGTATTATAAAATATTATTCACGGCAATGGAATTCCACTGTTATATTCGCCTGGTTTTCATTTCTTCTAATACGAAAGCTAAATTTAAAAACTTTCGAATACTAAATTAGTTGTAACTATTGCGTAACAGCCCATTCTCTAGTAAAACATGTCTAAAAATTGTTTCTCATTAGAATTCTATTCTCAATTTATGGCAGAATATTCTAGACTCTCTTGAGTTGTTTTTATTTATGATGATATTTATGAAGGTACACCAACACTTATAAAGTTACTTACAGACCTAAAATCGTTTGTAATACCAAAACGTTTTTAGGCCCATGTAGACAATTAATGTTTATTCCATACAGATTGGAACAACTGCCTCAAAAGAACCTTTGCGATATTAAGTATATTGTTGTAGGTTCTGGGCAAATTCAGCTATGGCAATTCCTGCTCGAACTACTCAGCGATTCAAGCAATGCTGGCTGCATCACTTGGGAGGGGACGAACGGCGAATTCAAACTTACCGATCCCGATGAAGTCGCGAGGCGTTGGGGCGAGAGGAAGTCCAAGCCTAACATGAACTACGACAAACTCAGTCGTGCTCTGAGGTAAAATGTTAACAAGCTGTAAGCATTGCGAAGCGGGTACCCGATTTGCTGAGCGTTGTAATCCTTTGCGAATTTGAATTGTTCAAATGCGCTTATTTATGAATTTTAATACAACAAAGGTATATAGGTGCAGAAAAGATTGCCTTGATCAGGAGTGTGCAACTTCCTCACACAACGACGAGAGTGGACTATCTCCTACTTACTCTTTTCTTCAGGGAAATGCGATTGCAAAGATTAGATCTAGCTTTTTGTAGCGTTGATTTACGGGCAATATGGCACTTAATGTTAAAACTTAAGTGTTGCTTGCTCATACATATATAATAATATTTAATTTCCACGCAGATACTACTATGACAAGAATATAATGACCAAAGTCCATGGCAAGCGCTACGCATACAAGTTTGATTTCCAAGGGCTGGCTGCTGCGACCCAGCCGACCGCCAGCGACCCAGCGTACAAATATCAGAGTGACCTCTTCATGAGCTCTTACCATCACTCCGCGAAGCTGTCATCGTTTATGGCACCACACGCTGCAATGCCAACATCCACAGGTAATTAAAGGCATAAATTGAAACTGCGATGGTCATAATAAATTATTGGAATGTAATAATTTCTAAATATTAACCACTTTGGGGCTGCAATGTTTCCTTTTTCAATATATATTTAAAGTAAGCATGTTTAGGAATCAAATGATAGGTTTTTATTAAAGACTATGATTTAGCAAATCCCGTAATTCTTAAAATATTTTAAAAGTAAGTAAACAAGGGATCAAATAAAAGTTATTTTTTCCATCCATCTTTTTTAATCGCTCGATTTTCAATTCGCATATGATTTGACCAAATTAACGTATCGTGTACGTCGTATTCGTTGTTACAGTTAAATATTTGTCGAACTGTTGAGAATATGTTTCCATTACAAGTGTTAATATGCACCCTTCAGATGCAGGGTTCAATCTGCATCTCGACTTCTCTAAACAGTAAATATTGGCAAAGTACTCGAAGCGTCTTGTCACAGAAACGGGACGGGATCGCACTTTGCCTAATGGAATAAACCGATTCCCCGTTCCCACTTCATACATTCCAAGACCCAAAGCAATCTCCTTGTATTGATTATCATTTCTTAGCATACGCGTTAATATGATAGCTAAAATTTAGTACTTAATTACAAAAAAATGAATTAGAAACGGCGCGCATTTTAAGTTCCATTCTGTACATCCCTGACCATTTACTTTGTTGTTTTTCACACTGTAATTGTTTGAGGTTTATAAGTTTTAAGTGCGTGAATTTCTGGTATGTTGTTTTTCAGATGATTTAGGAGGTTACACATAGCATGGTCTCGATAAAGTATTGCAAAGATTTTTTTCATTACCAACTAAAGGAAACATTGTAAATTATTTGAGAATTTCTCTGTTATATTACATTTAGAAGTCACTACATCTGCCAATAGCTTTATTTATTTGCTGGCTACTGAAATTTGTGAGTGCTGACAGCGAATTCTATATAATTATTGTAATTACATACTGATTTGTTTTTATTTTTTGAGACATTTATTGGTGATCTCTGCATGGCAAAGTTATTGTTGTATACATATATTCCTATGTTCAATTGTTAAACATTATATTTAACTTAGGGTAGCAAATTTGTCTTGTTGCAGCGTCAATATTCCCGTCGGCTTCGTGGAGCAACTGGGGCGGAGGGGGGAGCAACCTTTACTCCCCCCACTCGATGGCACCCCCCCACGTGACGTCACATCTAGGCTCCTACCCCCACTACGCATGACCGTCCTTCTAAGACAAGGGCATTGCGAACGACGACAATTTGTAAAGGCTAAAATAATTTTGAAAGGATTCCCGTAATGTTATAATATTCGCTTGTGTAAATTTGTTTAGGATATTAAAAAGTTCACTAATTTGCTGTAAATTTTTAGATTTTATATGAGTTTATATTTTTTAATAATTTTTCTTAGTTATTGTCATAGATTAAATACAAAGCAATATTATTGTAAGAGTATCCATAACATAAGACATAAGAGTGATGACGTCATCATACACTATTACAGTTTAGAATTTTTCTACTAAACTAAAACCTCAATTTGGAATGTTAAGTATCTGACAACCTGATCTTTTTACATGAAATGTCAAAAACAAGCTTATGGCATTCCCAAGTTATTTCATATGAGGTTTTTTAAGAACAGTAAGTAATAATAATATACAATTTTGATAAAATAATAATTGAATAATAAATAACATGAAAAGACAATTTTGCAAATAAATAATTGTCATTTATTTATCATGTTAAATATTGTTAATATAATTTATTTGTAAAATACCAATGATTATTTAAATAATAATTTACATAGGAAACTGTTTATTATGTGTTTTTTTATATTGGTTTTTAATTTTCAATCATCAAATCATTTGATAAACAAAACTAGTCTTTTATCCAAAATGTAAATAATAGATACTCTTTGAATAAGTAGAAATATATTATTTATAATATTTAGGATATCATTAACAAAATTTATTCCTTTGTAACTAAATTTGTGTAAATCAAATCGATTTCTCGTGGAGATTATCAGAATAGAATTCTTAAACCAAACTCACGTTATGTTCTAACTGCACAGTTTTAATTGAACATTCGGACTTTTTGTTAAAACTCACATATGTAATCAGAACTACGCATTAACCAGACAGTCCGAAAATTCCGTTAAAACTGAAAATGTGTAGCCGGCTTACTTTTACGGATCCCTAATTTATTTTAATTTATTTTAATCTAGTTAAATTATTTTACTAACAATCGAAGCATGTTGTACAATTATTATAACGTTTAAAAATTGCTTCTATTTATAAATATGTTGGCATTGACATGAATTTTGTTTATTGAACATTTTGTATAATTGCACAAAACTAAAAAAGCATTAATTCGATAAAAATTATACAATTATCTACGAACATATAAAATTATCGTAATATCTATTTAATATTTGGATCCAAAATAGTTGGTGGCATATTATACTCAGCATTAATATGTAAATTAATATTACTATAAAGTAGTTACATTTACCCGCAAACAAAATCTTTTTAATATCTACGTCATAAATATTAAATTAATTTGTTCATTTTGAAACACTGAGGTCCTGTCCCACCACAGGCTGATAAAGACTTAGATAGCGTAAAAGTGATCACTGTCGCATAGTACCAAAATCCGATATCTCCATCACATTTATACGATAGATTATTATCTGACAATTCACAAGAGTTGGGGGACAGGCCCTAAGTCAGAATTAAAAGAATGATATTTTTATGTTATAAAAGTTTTAATATTGATTCAGTAACATTTGCAGGTAGCATTTAAATAGCTAATTAAATATATATTTAATAAAAATCGCTTCCCACTTAGGGTTGAATTTCATTCTGCAAATTGTGCAGCGAAAAACATGTATTCATTTATAAATAGAGATAACGCAGAAAACTGTGAAATTAATCATAATCAACATAAATACATTAAACTATACTCAAATAAATATGTGATTGAATTAGATGTTATGTATTTAAAAAGTGCAATCGTACTAATATCGAGTAGAATTAAATTATTATTTAAGAATAATTTGTTGTGATTTTTTTATGTTTTATTGTATTTTCTTTATTGCATGGTTCAGAATTTCTAATTATATGCCGTAAGTAAATGTAGGTGTAATTTTGCCAAATAGAAATAATTAGAAGATTTTAGAAGTTAACAATTCATGGGTTATGTTGGTTTAAAAAAAAAAAGACTTAAAAATAATCACACGCAACATGTAACCGTAAGATTGTCTCTGTCAGGTTAAAATCTCACTAGTCGTATTAAATTAGAAGAAATATAAAATAACAAATGTAATAAACATTTGTAATACTAAGTTTACATAATAACCGTATGAATCCTATATAGTTTGGTCTAAACACGAGTTAAGACAGATGTAGTGTTACCAAATACTGCAAGAACAGAGTCGTCCGACCTTAATCACCCAATTTACGTCATAACGTGTCATAATTTACGACCCTTGTTGGGCCATTTAAAAGAAACCTCCTTCATCGATCCTCCCACCTAAACTTTCATTCTTTTAATTACAGATTATAAAGAATTTCGAAGCGAATTGAACAAAGCGAGATTTTAAAATGAGTACGGAACTTTGTGCACATTTTTTTAAATAGTCTTCTACAACTGTTGTAACAAACGTCAACACACAAACTTTGTAGTTATTTATGTTGATTTCTGATATAACCTAATTAAAAAATATTTCTTAACCGTCTAATTTAAGTATAAATATAAATCGATTTATTTGATAAGTACATAAGATACTGTTTTAGTATATATTTAAACATTTAGTTACCTATTTTTGTGATCCCATTTAATATTAGTCATTAAATTATATTAATGAATAAATAATTAAATTGAATGCGAAATAAGTTGAACCTAATTTTGATGTCTATTCTTGATGTCTGTTCTTTACAATGTAACTGTGGAGTCTCACCACACATGCACCTATTGTTATCTCTGTCTCCTTCATACGGAGTAAGAGAGATGACAATATGTTTATGTAGAAGTTTCGAGAGTTTAAAGTTGAAACCATTAAAACTGTGAACCGATTTTAAACAATTTAGTTCCCTAATCTTTATGAAAAATTTGGTAAAAAGTATTAATTTAAGTGTCGCAAAATCAATCAAATTAATGAATTAGTTTAATTCATTACGTAATATTCGAGTAAATGTAGGAAATTATTCAATTTTATTTATTTTCGCATATGTTGATATTTTTTCGCATGGATCGATTTTACTAAACAGTTTAGAAGTAGTGTACCGTTTCATGAATGTTATTGTAACTATTTGGAAATTAATAAAACCACTGAAATGTAAATAATTTATTTATGGAGATACAATTCACTACCATGCTCCTTTTTCTATAAACCTCGCTACATATATCCTTGACTGAACGTAACTATCCAAACAAGAAACAGGTTGACCGTTAACCTAAGCCACAAGTAATACAATAATGTACTGAACCTACAATTGTACAGTAAGCAATGACGAACTTACAAATGGAAACCACGACCTCACTATAAATTTGAATTTACTTACCCTTTAATTCTTTAAAAAAAAAACAAAGATGAATACCTGTTTTTGTAACAACAGTGGCCTTTCACTATTGTAACACCTGCATTACTATAATATTGTCATCCCTTTTATATTCCACAAAAAAAAAACAGGACTAAGAACGATTTTCTTTCTGAAATTTAAAAAGACAAAGAAACGAAAAATGACATTTTAATTTCTGTTATTAGATACCTACTTTTGGTTTTGTAAAACCTATAGACCCATTTGTGAGAAAAATCTTCGGGAAAAATGTTGGTTGATAGAAGGGATAAGATACTACTAGCGACATCTATTAATTGATTTTGACTATTTCTCTGAATTAATCTCATTTTTAAGAACAACCTGTTTTCTTCGAAATATAGATGGCGTTAATTTATGTTGTCAATAACTGTAAAGATATTTAACTTGAAACTATTATTGACAATATGAATTAACGCTATCTATATTTCTAAGAAAAAAAATGTTGTTCGAGCGCCACAAGTTCTTGCATTACATGCAATTTATTTTGTAAAGAGCAGTAGAAATATTTAACTTTAAACTATTATGACAATATAAATTAACGCCATCTATATTTCTAAGAGAAAAAGTTGTTCGAGCGCTACAACTTCTTGCAGAGAAATAGTCCGAATCAATTAATAGATGTCGTTAAAAGTGACTTTTTTTCTTCCATTAACTTTTATGGTCGTTCTGTCTGCGGGTAAACTGCCGTGCTCCCTCATAAAGCAGAGTTTAGTGATAAATACATTTTAACAAATAAGTTTTCTTCGTTTGATTTTATCCTAATCAAAAAACAAAAAAAATGCACTATGAAAATGTGCTCCTTAAACTTTTTCAAGGAAAAGATGTTTATGTCATTTCGAATTTGAAAAACGCCGTAACTCAAAATATTTAAGACAAGTAAATAAGTATTCTACGAATTCTCGGAGACTTTAAGATGCTTGGGAAATCTCTTATTAATGGCATAATACGAATGAGAAGCTCGATTATGAGTTTAAAAAGCCCTAAGGTTATCGTTCGCAATTATCGTATGCACGGGCCTCCACAGCCTTTCGACAATTTACCATTCACAGTGCCCAACAGGTAAACAAAACAATGTTATTCATTACCAAAAACATATAAGAATGTATATTTGAATCACTTTACTCATCAGAATCAAGGGCACAGGTAATAATAGAAATCACTCCGTCGTAACATAATTTTGCAACATCTATCTATATAGAACAGTCTATCTTAAACCTTTTAATACACAATATAATTACCGTTTTCCATAAAGATTACAAATAGCACTCATATTTCAGATAAATTCTTACCATATTTACCTACAACAAATTTAAAATGAACCAAAGTAACCAAAAATAGCAGCTATGGCTAACTACATAAATTACTCCTGTTAGCAGATACAGACAGCAAATGTTTATTCTTGTGTATGAAACAATACTATAATCAAATTTTAGCCTTTTACAATCATTCTGCGAGGAAATTAGCTACTTGTCTTGTGTTCTTTACATCACATTAGATATCTTAACTTACATCTTTTTGGAACTCCGGAACATGAAGATGCTTATGTTATTGCTCTCTATCATTTAAAAAGTTGTTTAGAACTGTGCATATTCAATTAATAAACATGATCTTACAACATGGCGAGTAGTGCCGCCATTAAAATAAGCACTTCTCTAGTACGAGCAGCTGCATAATAGTATTTCTAGAAGAAACTGTTCTGGAAAGTGAAGCATTGGCAGAGATGGAGTCCATCGGTACGGCACTATCGC